TGAAGAGGGTAAATAATGACGAAAACGTGCTGGAAAGAGTCCGCATACAACTGACCAATAAAAACACGCTTGATCGTCATTTCTAATGTTAATACAAGCCCTTTTATTCGCAATTTCTTTAGGCAACTCAACGAAGGATGATCCGTTACCCATTTCAAATTTATTAATGTTAATCTCTAAATAAATAATATTATTTAAAGCCCACTCGGAAGTCGTTCCCGTGTGAAAGTATGTTGACCCTGAGACTCCTACCTGCACGGTTGTCTGACTTTTAATTCAACCATGGAAGTGAGTGCATGTGTATAAATACGTTGCATGTGTATTATAGACTATATTCAGTGCAATGAATACACAAGTGCGATGTCCATTTCCCTACGACCCTACAACAGGTAAGTTTTATATTTTAATTACCTTTATACAGTGCGCGTCTTTTCTTGTGGGTTTCAGTTTGGGTTATCACTTTTTTGGTTAGTTTCTACCTGTTTTTAAAATATGATACTCATCTTTTTTACGTTGCATAATAACTGAATTAAATTGAGTGTTTTTAATATCTTTTAAAAAATAAACAATTTTTAAATTTATTTGATGACCCCACTTACTGAAAGTTTTGTTTCAAAAATGTGCGTTTTATGGGGAAAACGCGAAATATATACTTATTTTTGTTTTATTTTTTGTACTAAAGAATTGCAGTTTGCCCTTTTGACAATAATAATCGAATTAAATTGAGTGTTTTTAATATCTTTTAAATGACAGTGAATAGAAAAGGGAATTTTGGCTTTTAAAAAATAAACAATTTTTAAAATTATTTGATGACCCCACTTACTGAAAGTTTTGTTTCAAAAATGTGCGTTTTATGGGGAAAACGCGAAATATATACATCTTTTTGTTTATTTTTTGTACTAAAAAATTGCAGTTTGCCCTTTTGGCAATAATACACTTTTTTAATATCATTTAAATGACAGTGAATTGAAACGTGAATTTTGGTATGCGCGTATAACTTAAAAAACAATTTTTAAAATTATTTGGTAACCCCCCTTTTTGGAAGTTTTGCTTAAAAAATGTGTGTTTTATAGGAAACGCTACATATCATACTTTGTTTTGTTCTAGAAAAAATCGCAGTTTGTCCGTATGACAAGTCGCATATTATGTTGGCGCATCGCTTAGGGCGTCACATATTCAAATCACACAAAGAGTACCGGGGGTTAGAATTCCCGGTACGACATACAAGGACAAGGGAACATCACCAGCAGCAGGAGCAACCCGGTGGATCAAAAGAAAGAAAGGAGCAGTAGGAGTACCCGGGTGGGTGGTCGACGGAGTGGGACGGCGAGGAGTGCACTTCGTATTTAGATTTCCTCCGGGAACGGGAAGAAGAACAACTCAAGGAACAGGAACAATGGGATGGTCGACGCAATCGACACAAAAAGAAGAAGAAACTCCTCGCCAGACCAATTTTATAAATAAAATAAAATATATTAAAATTCAAGTTTATTTAATTATCCTCCCGATCCACCGCGTCACCGCGCCGCAGGGTGACCGCCCTCTACCGGGGGGGACCTACGACAGTCGGAGCGCGCGACATCTAGCGGCGACGGGCGGAACCGGGGCAAAACAGGACGCTACACAAGCTGGGTGGGGGGCGGAGCGCACTCTGGTAGCCAGGGGGGACACTAGGACGCCACGCGCGGGGGGATCCCGCTGCGGGGGGGTTACGAAATTGAGGATATAAATAAAAAATAACTATTTTCAGCATTTTTAATTTTTTAATACTTTTCGAGAAAATCAATTATTATTATATTATCAGTTATAATTTACATAATGTATACGTACATATAACTCTTCACAAAAAGTTTTCTTGGGTTTCGTGTCCACTACCTTTATTTTATTATCAGGAACTAGCAAGCTGCGGGTTTGTTGTGAAGTAGTAATATTTTCAGAATTTATCGATTGTGATGATATTGAAGATTCGATAAGATCTTTTAAGACGAAGTCTAAATCTTTAGAATCATCACTTTTAATATCGACAGATGACGTAAAACTATAAATTTTTTGCCGCAAGAGCTTTTCCCTTTTTTTCATTTTTGGTGCACTTTCTGTTACTTAATTCGAGGCTCGATGTAACCAGTTTAATTGAGGAAATGACCTACAGTAAAAAAAAATATATAGAGTGCATCAGTTTTTCAACAAATTTCACTTACTTTTATTCTTTTAGGTGGAAGTTCTGCGCAGTGCTCCACGTCATCTTCAAAATTATTTTTTGCAATTGGTTGTTCTGAATTAAAATATTGGGTTCCACAAGAATTAATCGGTAAAGGTTGTAATACTGTAAGTTTATATTCTTCAGTGCTTCTGTCAATGTTATAATAGTCGGACACAAAACCATTATCCACTGTTTGCATTAAAAAAGCATTCTGCAAACGCAACAATATCACAAAATGATTAACAAAATTAGAAATGCTTCAACACATTTGAAAATGTTTACTTACTTCTATATTTTGATTTGGAGATGGTAAGCAAGGCTTCTTAAGTGAATTAAATTCTGTATTAATCTTCGGTATGGCATCTGTGGTAACATTATCGGTATTTTGGAAAAATTGTCTATCATTTTTAGGATTGTACGAGCAAGTTTCTGTGTTGGCTTGTCTTGTCATATCATCCTGCTTTTCACTTGCAAAATTGTCTTTATTTGGGAAAGGTTTTAATACTGTATCTTTTTCGTCTACTGTTTGATAGAACTCAGGTAAAGAGCATTGGTCAAAGTCACACTTTTTAACCCACTCCTGAAACGACATCATGTTTTGCATGTTTTTTTCTTATTTATTTGAACTAAAAAATTAATCGATTTAACTTACAAGAGCCTTTTCGTTGTGGTTCCATTCTGGTATAGTGCTAGGGTCAGGCAAAATTTTTGAAGCTTCTAAAATACACATACACAATGTAAAAATAATATTTTCAATTTTGAAACTTAGTCCATTAGGATTTAAAGAATATCAGGAATTGAGTTTTTATTTTACTGCTTTAATGCGTCTCAAAATTGAACTTGAACAATTATTGCTTCGAAAAACTAAGGTAAAAAATAAATTAGTCACACCTAACCACTAATTAACTTTAGAACACTGCACTGCTCATACTTATTTAAATATGGCGATATTCAATTCCAAGAACCCCAAACCTAGAAACTAAATCATCACAAGCTTACTCACATAATACTTGCTTAAATTATTTATACAATAAACAACACACGGGGTGTTTATTATGTAGGTAATTTAAAGGTCTGACAGTTCAGTCTAATATTTTTTTATTGTAAAATTTATGAGTAAGATCACTTCAAGTGGACCCCCCATTTACCATTTGATCATAAAAATTCAATCTATTTATATTTTTTATAAGTACTTATGATTGAAAATTGATCCCAAAAACGATTTTTTAAAATTTTGATTTCAACATTTCTTTTTATATTGAAAATTTGAAGTACTTTTAATTAAAAAATGGATTAAAAATCCATGGCCTGTCTATACTTTAAGAATATATTAACGACTTAAAATTATTTGTTTATTTTCGTATTGTTAATTAACTTTTAAGTTAACAAATGAAAATTTAACTGATTCCTTGGTATAAGAAATATTTTTTTTTATCGGTCACATGCTTTATCCATTTCTGTTTAAGATTCCGGAAGAAAATATCACTGCGCGTCATTGGTTTAAACAAAATGAATTTATTTATGACAAAGCGCCGGACGCCGAGCGCCGTGGAAGCCCCGCGCTGCCGAGTGTTTCGAACTGCGTTGAAGGTTTTATCCGTGATAATTTTAAATAACAATACAAAATATTGTAAAACAAATTTTATTATTATTTATGTTATTTTATTATAATTATTATTAATAAATTTTTTTAACACTATTATAAAGAATACGATCATAACATACTGAATAGCTAAAATAATTAAAATGTAAATTTGTCGTCAGTTATTTTTATTTTTGTTTTAAACTTTCTTAATAAATACTTTTTCATCCTCGGAAACGTGCCTGCATTCTAGTGAAAAATTTTTCAATGGTTTGTAATAATGAAATTGGCGAATATTTTTTATTGTACTTAAACGTTCGAATCGTGGTTTGGTTTTTTTTTTTTCATATAGCTCATGATCTTCAATAGTACAGAAAGCAAAATTAATATATTTAAAAGAACTTTGGGCCCACTGAAAAAAGGAAAGTGGGGTTGTTATGTGGTTGTTTTTATCACGTTGGAGACTAGCATGATAAGCTTGTCTTTTTACATTAACTGCTAAGCCATCACACTCTCCTTTTTGTTATTTACTCTGGATACGCGGAAAACAAATGACAATCGTAACTGTTCTATATGCGAGTTTTTTTATATCGCAGTTTAGATTTTAGGTTAGTTTAGGTTTTTTTGTAAACCGTGATGCGGTACGCTTTCCTAGGGCGATCCACGGCAGTTACTTGCCGGGCCGCGTATTGTACGGAGTCGTGAGTAAACGGCTGCATTGTCGTGGTCGAGTTTCATTTCACGTTAAATGAATACATAACAGTGGCGCAGTCAGCACTCGAACCAAAATATTATTTAAAATGTCGACTTTTCTCGGGAACCTCGGTTCATTTGACTCGGAAAAATCAGATTATGCAATTTTTTCCGAGACTTCAACAGTTTTTCGCCGCGAATGAGATAATGAATTAGGATAAAAAACGGGCAACACTTCTAAACACATTAAACGAAGAATGTTACGTTTTGTTACGAAATTTGTGCGTGCCGAAAACGCCGCCGGAGCTGAAGTTTGAAGAGTTAGACAAGTTGTTATTAAAACATTTTTCTCCCGTGCGTTCGTATTTTTTGGAAAGATTAAAATTTTACACAGCAAAAAAGGAGCCAAGTGAAAAAGTGTGTGTTGGGCGGCTCGCGTAAAAAATTTAGCAAGTTTTTGTGGGTTTGATGCCTCTATCACTCTCGACCAATTAATGAGGGAAATATTCACGGTTGGCTTCAATGATGTGCGTTTTAGTGACCGCTTATTTGAGGAAAATCCTCGAGGTAGCAAGTGCACCTTCCAGTTTATGGAAAAAATCGCATTGTCAAAGGAATCTGCATTTTTTGACCACGAAAAACGCGCGTCGAAAGATACATCCACACAAATCAAGAGAGAACCAGAAGAGCTATTTTATAACAATCAAAAACCAGGTATTTTTCGTCGGAGCAGGGGTAAGTCAAATTCAAGGACCCCCCAAAAGGAACTAAAATCGAAAACATCAAGTTTCCATTCTTGTTCAGTTTGTGGCCGTTCCAACCACAAATCATCCGAGTGTGCCTACCGCAATTGTTTTTGTGATAAATGCGGAGTAAAAGGACATTTAGCACCCTTGTGTAAGCAGAATAACGTGGATCAAAATTTTCTAAAAGAAAACGCGCTCGAAGGTTTGGACGATAGCGACGATCCGTGCTTCATTATCAGTGATAAACCCTTGCAAGGTCTAACGAACATCACCCAGGCGTCCGTACAAAATATGTTTCATAAGAAAACAGAAAATGTCCATAGCAGTTCAATAAGTAACGAAAAACCCATTTTAATTAAATTAGAGATAGATAAAATGCAATTTAATTTTGAAGTGGACTCCGGTTTCGCCCACGCGGCAATTTCGGAAAAAATGTATAACAAACATTTTCAAAAATATCCGTTAATCAGTAATGATTTGCGTTTGAAAGATTATGTCGGTGTATCTTTTCAACCTTTGGGTTTTGTAAACTTAAAAATAACATATGATTGTCAAAATTACAACCTAAAAACATATGTAATTAAGAACGGCGGGCCACCCTTATTAGGTCGCAATGGTCTGAAAATGCTAAATATCGGACTTTGTAAATCAGTCGATAGCAATACCAGTTTATTATATGTAAATTCGGACGCCAAGTTGCAAAATTTATTAAACAAATTCAAACCAATATTCCGCAGTACGCTAGGTACATTCAATAAGTTCAAGGTCACGCTAAAATTAAAAGAAAACGCCACCCCAAAATTTTTTAAGCCTCGGCCGGTTCCAATAGCATTAAAACCGAAAATTGAGCAAGAACTGGACCGGCTAGTCAAAAACAAGGTGCTAGTGCCCACTGAATTTTCAAAGTGGGCAACACCTATCGTCCCAATATTAAAAAAAAACGGCGGTATAAGGATCTGCGGCGATTTTAAGGTGACCTTGAATTCCCAATTGGAATTTCAACAGTTTCCTCTTCCAAGAATTGAATACTTATTTAGCCAACTAGAGGGGGGAATGAAATTTTCAAAAATCGACCTTTCAGAAGCGTATCAGCAAATTTTGCTCGACGATCAGTCCAAAGAGTTGGTTACCATCTCCACACATAAGGGGTTGTTTTCTTATCAAAGATTGCCTTTCGGCATACACTGCGCGCCCTCCATCTTCCAAATAATCATGGAACAATTATTTAATATTCCTGGCGTTATATCATTCCTAGATGACATTCTGGTGACAGGGAGAAACGATCTTGAGCATTTGGAACGATTACAACAAGTCTTTCAAAAATTATCGGAATGTGGCTTCCAATTAAAAAAAGAAAAATGTAGTTTCATGCAAGAATCCTTGACTTACATGGGTCATTTAATTGATAGGTTCGGCTTGCACAAAACCGATGAGAGGGTCGAAGCAGTGGTCAAAACCAGGGTACCTTCCAACATCACAGAACTTAAGTCATTTCTCGGGGGCGTCAATTATTATGTTAAATTCTTACCGAACGCGTCGTCCATCCTTTATCCTTTATACAGTTCATTAAAAAAAAAACATCCCTTGGGAATGGACACCGGCTTGCCAAAATAGCTTCGATAAAATCAAGGATATGTTAGTATCTCCATCTGTGCTGGCCCATTTTGACCCAAAATTACCAATCAAATTATTGGTAGATGCCAGCAGTATAGGTCTAGGGGCAATAATTAATCCTACCGACACAGACGGAACTGAGCGACCCATCGCGTTCGCTTCAAGGTTGCTAAATAAAAACGAACTATTCCCAATTCGAAAAAGAGGCTCTAGCAATAATATTCGGGGTCAATAAAGAACAAACCTCAAAAGATGTCGTTTTGAGCAAAATTCTATTTTATGTTCGAAACGGTTGGCCACAAACTTGCCTCTCTACAGTTTTTAAACCTTGTTTTCTTAAAAAACATGAAATTTCTGTAGAATATGGTTGTTTAATGTGGGGTTACCGTCTAATTGTGCCTCCAGTCTTCTATGGCAGTATTTTGGGGGAATTACATTTAACTCATACCGGAATCGTTAAAATGAAAGCCTTGGCGCATTCATATGTTTGGTGGCCAAAAATCGACGATTCTATCGAGAAAATCGCGCGTTCATGCAAAACATGTGCACTTTATTCGGAAAAATCCGCGAAACCTTCTTTAATTATGTGGGATACTCCTAAAGAACCATGGACTCGTGTTCACGCTGACTTTTTCGGACCATTTTTAAATAAAACATTTTTAGTAATCGAAGATGCCACTTCAAAATGGCTAGAATGTTTCATAGTCTCAGACATGTTCTCTGCACAAACCATAAAAATCTTCAGAGCTCTATTTGCCCGTTTTGGTCTCCCAAAAGAAGTTTCCACCGATAACGGTCAGAGTTTTATGTCCGAGGAATTCCAAAATTTTTTGGCAAGTTTGGGGATCATTCAGAAAGCGGGTGCTCCATATCATCCGGAAACGAACAAGCTGGCCGAATCAGGCGTCAAAATTGCAAAAAGAGCGTTACGCAAAGGATATGCGGATGGGGTGACCGATTTACAACTTATTTTAGATACTTTTCTTTTTCAATACCGCAATACACCGCACACTACGACCCAAGAATGTCCAACAAAAATGCTTTTTGGTCGCTTTTTACGCACTAGATTTGATTTAATTTTACCTTCGACCGAAAATATTGTAAAAGAAAAACAAAACAAAATAGAACTTACGCGCAAAAAGAAAGGGGAACTGTCATTTTCAATTGGGGAGAAGGTATGGACCCGGGACTACCGTCCACGGATAAAAGCAGGTGGTGTCAAGGGGTAGTTCGAGATATACTTGACTGAAGAACTTACGTGGTTGAGTTGGTCGGTGGAGTCACATGGAAAAGACATTCAAGTCAGTTAAAAAAGTATCATTGTAACGACAATTCTTGCCCCAGCAAGGAAAACTCCATGACAGCCCCAAATAAAAAAAACTCCTCGATGACTCCACCTCCCAACGTAACAAGAAACAGATCAAGTAATACTGTAACGTCAGTTAGATCTAGCGATAGCGAAACATCGGACTCAGAAAGTAAAGACATTATCTCACCCAGTGAAAACAACCCCAGCGACAATGAAGTCCCAAGTGACCACGGTGCGCGTGTGCTTCGTAGACGTAGTAAGATTAACCCTCCAGATCGTTTACAAGTCGCCCAGTAAACGTGACACTCATATCTAAATGCAAGTGTACATAAACACCACTAGAGTTAAGTTAGTTTCAGTTTATTATAGGGGGAAGGTGTTCTATATGCGAGTTTTTTTATATCGCAGTTTAGTTTAGGTTTTTTTGTAAACCGTGATGCGGTACGTTTTCCTAGGGCGATCCACGGCAGTTACCTGCCGGGCCGCGTATTGTACGGAGTCGTGAGTAAACGGTTGCATTGTCGTGGTCGAGTTTCATTTCACGTTAAATGAATACATAACAGTAACGGACTGGTTTTTCTTTTGTTAAATAAAGATGGAGTGTTAACTAGTAAATTTAAAAATAATAATTTACTAAATTACCTAGAAAAAGTAAATAAAGACCGTAACAGTTTTAAAAATTTAAAGTTGATTATTTTTTTCTAGATTTACGCTGTAAGGTAAAAATAATAAAAAATTTTATGGTATTCTTTATAACATTGTTAAAAAAAAAAATTATTAATAATAATTATAATAACATCAATAATAATAAAATTTGTTTTATAATAATATTATGTATAATTATTTCAAATTATCACTGATAAAACCTTCAATGCAATTCGAGACGCTCGCCAGCGCGGCGCTTCCACAGCGCTCGGCGCCCGGCGCGCTGTCATAAATAAATACATTTTGTTTAAACTAATGACGAGCGCTAAAATTTTCTGCCGGAATCCTAAACTTTAATGGATGACCATGTGACCGATAAAAAAAAGATTTTTCTTACCAAGAAATCAGTTAAAGTATCATTTGTTAACTTAAAAGTTAGTTAACAATACGAAAATAAACAAATAATTTTAAGTCGTTAATATATTCTTAAAGTATAGATGGATGCTAAAAATTTCATGAATTTATCTCTTACGGTTTATTTTTAATCCATTTTTTAATTAAAAGTGCCTAAAATTTTCATTATAAAAAAAAAAGTTGTTAAAATAAAAATTTAAAAAATCGTGTGGTGATGAATTTTCCATCATAAGTACTTATAAAAAATATATATACATTAAAGTTTTCTGATCAAGTGGTAAATGGGGGATCCACTTGACGTGATCTTACTCTAATATATTTAAAAAATTCATTCGAATTTTTGAATACTATTAAAAAGAAAGTCATAAAAGTAATCAGAAGGGCAATATTTAAAATATGTTTGTATGTTAATATGTTTAGAAACTATAGACTACAAATGGATCCTGGATCGTATCTTTATGAACACTTACTTGTTTTGTCCAAAACAAGCGAAAGCATTAATTTACTTCTATTCATTTTTCCGGACGTGACAAAGTGCCGCACATCACAGGAAAATGCCGAAGACTAAATGAATTATTTTCGGTATATCAGGCATCAAAAATAATGGCTTTGAACTATACAAAAACTGCTGCGTTGCCAATTTACGATCACATGGGAAGTTGTAAGGTTGATGCCAAGTTTCTCATATATACAAGAAGTGACAAGGTGTGCTTTATAGTTAGATTATATATTCGGGAAGTCGCAATTACTAAAGAGTTTCAGGTATATATAGATTTCGCTGAATATATCAAACATGTTCATAAAAAATTAAATCCGTTGTATGTCATGAATGGCTCCGGGTGCGTTTAAACGTAATTTTCTGGTGGTCTCATCGTCACTTGCAAGGGGCTCACTTTTTGATGATCTGCATATTTTTTAAAAAGCTGTAAACTTTTGGTTCATGAAAACACTACATAACAGTAACAATTATTACTGCACTGAAGTGCACTGAATGTGTTATAGCCAAAAAGTAAGAAATCTTTTATAACATATGGAATTGTTTCAGATTTATTTAATTTTTTCATAACTAAAAAGAACTTACTTATATTAAATAGCAGCCGCTAGTAAGCTAAATAAAAGGTTTGAGTATCTTCAAAATACTTTTTTTGAAAGAGGCGTAAACTTCTATAAATTGATGTCAAGATAAAAGTTGTGGACAGAAATTTTACAAATTTTAGATTCTAAATACACACTTCCTTTTAAATAATGCGATCAAAAATATTGATATTCATTTGATTGCGTCAACGTAAACAAAACGCAAACAAACATTTCAAACTGAAATTGTATTCATATATATTTTTGCCTCTTATCATGAATTCGTAGGCTAAGGGGTATTTGCTGTATAAGTAATTTTAAAGACCTAACAATCCAGACACATTTTTAAAATACAATGTTATAATAGTTCCATTACTAAAAAATTCATTTGAACCCTCTGTAAATTATTGAAAACCATACAAAAATTACGGGAACTACAAAAACTTCATTAAAATGTCTAGATTACATTTTTGTTTTTGATGTAACCTTAATCAAAAACTCTGGAGTTCTACAGGCTGGTGTGAGTGATCATTTTTCTATTATAAAAACATAAATGTGTCGCAATTTTACACTGTTCCTAAGAATGCAAAACCGACTGGTCGTCCAAAAATCGTATGGTGCATTGGGTGGTGGGAGAGAATATTATAATAAAAATTACAAAAAACAAAAAATATTATTATATTGTTGTTTTCTACAACATACAGCCATTAAACTGACAAAACTTTCCAATATTTTTATATTTATATTTCTTCTTTAAGGAATAAACCTCGCTGTAACTTGAAAACTATTTGGTTTATAAAAAAAATGCTTTTTATAAATCATATGCGTTGAAGATCAACGAATCAGTTACTTCTGCAAAAACTCCAATCGGATGGATCGTATATTTATAATTAGCAAAATATGAAGCCATCTCGTTAATATCACGGCCGCCAGCGAAGCAACGAGAGAGGGTCAAATTTGTAATGACGGTCAGGCAATAAACAAACGACTTAGCGATTACGGCGGCTCTTAAGATCGTTTTTGCTTGTAGACCCTCTTTCGTAGCGAATGTGAGTGATACGTATTTGCCCTCATTATTACTTTTGAGATTACTAATTATTTGTATTAAATTTTATTGGCAACATTGCATATTAAACCAATAATACATAAGTGTGCATAGAAGCTAGAATAAAAATTAAAATTATATCTATAACAACACCTAAAATTAAGTAGAAATAAAAAGTTAATCTAAAAAAAAATCCTTCGTGTTGGTCAGGAATCATTTTTGTCTCTCTTATTGCTACATATTGATTTTGCACATTTACAGAAATATTTCATAAATTTTCTTTTACAGGAACACAATGGCCCGCTACGCTTAAAATGTTGTGTCTAAATTAAAAAATCTTATTTGACAGAAAATTGAATGTCTCTATACCTTTTTTTTTTCTAAATCAAGTTGAATTTCTTCTTGAGCGACGCTCAGAATATCCGTGTAAGATACTGTGTGACAACAAGCGTGGCTGCTTTCAACCAGTTTTTTTAGCTTGGTCTCCTGATAGGCTAACATTCCCAGACCAAT